GCCCTAACCCTAACCAGAGGAAATGATGGGGACCAGCTGCACATACATTTAAATATTTTCAGGGAGGGCTCATTTTCAAGGGGGGGGGGCTTATTTTAGCGCATGCTCTCAAAAGCCCGATTGGGCTTATTATCAGGGGATGTCTTATTTTAGGGGAAACAGGATATTATTACTCTTCTTTTGAAAAAAAAAATTACAAGGAGGGTCATGAAAATATACCTTCTATCAATACAAATTCAAAATTCATCTGGATGATCTTGAATAAAAGGATGAGATGATAGACAACTGCCTTTCCCAACTTGTTGACTTCCAGGTTTGTTGGGGTCAACCCCCAAGAATCCTCTAGTCAACCGTGTGTGTGTGTGTGTGTGTGTGTGTGTGTGTGTGTGTGTGTGTATGCGATATTTTTGCAATCAGGGTTTTTTCCTATGTTGAAAGATGTTAAAATGGCCATGGTGGGATGAAATCTCTATTCATCGCTTTCAGGCCTGTCAGACATTTTATGTTGTTTCTTCTGAGACTTATGGGAGACTGGGATAGCACTATTTCGGCCTTCTTGGACCTCTTCAGCCAGACACACCCATATTTTATGACTCCTCCCTGTAGAGGTCAAATATTTATTTCTTTTAATTCATAGATATAAATGTGTGATATTTTTGCAATCAGGGTTTTTTTTTTACATATATATATATATATGTAGGTCTTTGGTTATTTGGGTTTTCTAGCATTGCTCCTAGAAGCACAAAGCCGAGAACACCAGCCTGATGATGACGAATGAGACTTCGTCGAAACGTTGCCAAGACACCTCCAATTTTACGCGGGAGAAAGCCCAAATAACCAAAGACCTACATACAAACACCCGCGAAAACCTCAGAAAACAAATATATATATATTTCTGTAGCTATGCTTGCATTTTGGTCTGTGACCGTAAATAAATTTATTATTATTATTAAATATATATATATATTTCTTTGATGGAATGCCACAGACTTATCAGCCGTCCTTGGTATTTTTATATGGTAGAATTTTTACCTCTTAAGCTGATGGTAGCAGAGAGAAAGTAATGCCTTTTTTTCCTTTAAAATAAAGCCTTCCTTTAAGCCTATTTTATAAATTGCCTTCGCTAAGTGGGAGGTTGTAGGATTAGTAGATAAAACTGTAATTGTTAATCAGAAATGTATATTAGCCATTTCCCAGTATGTCAATAGAACAGCTGGGAATTAATACCTGGGATGTCATAATGCTGGTTCAGGAATTATTGCTGAACCAACCGGTATTAATAAAATTAACATCTAGCTGCAGAATAAAATTCATTTATGGAAAGAATCTGGCAAGGCTACAAAATGTTGTTATCTTTAATTCGCATACCACATTGGTCTTCGTTAAGCAAACTATATAATTTGCTGTGCTGGCAAATAAGATATAATTCATGTCCCTTTTTCATCTGTCTTCAAACTGTTTTTTTCCCATTTATCTCAGTATGGTTTGCAACCTTAAGAATAGCAGTCAAAACCCTTGGGGAGTTGCTCAAGGAGCCAGTTACCACATAGAGCTTCTTGAGGAAAGTGTCTTTTGTGAATCCCAACATGAGCAGCTTGATTTGCAGTTCCAGTCTACTAACACATAGTTATAAAAAGTTACCCAGCATTTAGAAATGTATTTTTGAGAGAATAAATCTTCCTTCAGTTGAAATAACCAAAGCCACAAATGAATAGGACCACCTTCCCTCTTTCTATTTCTTTCCCCCCTTCATTCCATTGTAGAGTCAGAACTCTTTTCTTCCTTCACTCCCCATCCTCCCTCCCTCCACTTGCCTCCCTCCCTCTTACTTATCTTCCTATCTTTCTTCCTCCACTCTCCTTTCTTCCACTTATCTCCTTCCTTCCTTCCTTCTTTATTTTCCTTCCTTCCTTATCTTCCTTCCTTATCTTCCTTCCTTCCTTCCTTATCTTCCTTCGTTATCTTCCTTCCTTCCTTCCTTATCTTCCTCCCTTCTCTCCTTCCCTCCTTTCCCTCCCTCCTTTCCCTCCCTCCTTCCTTCCTTATCTTCCTTCCTTCCCTCCCTCCCTCCTTTCCTTCCTTCCTTCCTTCCTTCCTTCCTTCCTTCCTTCCTTCCTTCCTTCCTCCTTCCTCTTCCTTCCTCTTCCTGAAAGAGCAATGTGAAATTAATCCGAGGCATGAGTTACCGTCTGTTTCAAAGAACAAGAAACATTATTTTGGGTAAGGCATATCTCCCCAATGTATGCCTGAGCATGTATCCTTCTCTGCCCTTGTGCAAATATTTTACACTGCACACAGTGTTGAGCTGAAGCTGTAGCACATTTGACAAGCTGTAGCAAATCATTAGAAGGCAGCCAGTTCTTATTATCCATTGGGTAATGCAGTATATGTTGACAGTAATGATGATGGTTTGGGATAAAATAAAATATGGAGCAATTATAGTAAAAGAAGCTCATGATTGTTTACTGCATCTCTGAACAGATACTGACTTGCTCTTCCACAAGCTCTTTGTGGTGTGAACTATTTCTCAGATACGTTGCATTCCAAGGCACGTAAAATCATACTATTTTCCTTTGGGCTGGAATATTTGTAGTTCCTAAACAAAGGATTAATTAATGATGTATGAATTGCTGTGATTTATAATCCTGCTGCTTAGACATAGCTCTAGCAGAATTTCAGATTCAGAAACTCTGTTCCCCAGTTTCTGTAGGCATTTCATTCTTAGCTGTCCTCTGGTTGGTCTCAGCAATGATCTCAGTGGCTAAGACGCTGAACTTGTTGATTGAAAGGTTGGCAGTTCAGCGGTTCGAATCCCTAGTGCCACATAACGAGGTGAGCTCCTATTATTTGTCCCAGCTTCTGCCAACCTAGCAGTTCGAAAGCATGTTAAAAAAAATGCAAGTAGAAAAATAGGGACCACCTTTGGTGGAAAGGTAACAGCGTTCTGTGCGCCTTTGGCGTTGAGTCATGCTGGCACATGACCATGGAGACATCTTTGGACAGCGCTGGCTCTTCAGCTTTGAAACGGTGATGAGCACTGTCCCCTAGAGTCAGGGACGACTAGCACATATGTGCGAGGGGAACCTTTACCTTTTAAACATTCATTTATTAGTTGCATATGCCATGGAATCTCAAGGCACTCCCAACATTTTACCATAATAAAAATAACATATAACAACTGCATAAAAAAATAAAATAAAACTTTCATGATAAATTGTATGTTAAATTTTGCAAAACCAATAAGTACGATCAGTGTCATCCAATGTCATTTTTAACCACTCTCCAGAAGAGTCTCATTTTCACCCAGTATGTTTAATTGGGGTGGAACCTGTCTACTTTTCAGACTTTCATTTTACCTGGATGCAGTGATGATGTTATCCATTTAGTCATATCCAGCTCTTGGCAATTCTATGGGCCAGGCCTCTCCACATCTTCTGATCTTGCTCTGTTTGTTTGAGTTTTTCTATGCTCTGGCTGGTGTCAGCTTTGATGGTGTAGAGCCATCGTGTTCTTTCACGTCTTGGTTTCTTTTTACTGCTAATTCTTCCCAACATAATTGCTTTCTTCAAGTGAATTCCCTCACATGGCATATCCAAAATAAGTGAGACTATCTGCAGGATGAAACTAGGACTCCACATCAGGGGTGGCCTTTGAAGATCATTTTGAAAATGCAGGCGGTGCAAAACTCAAAGTCAATGCATTGATTGGTCTTGTTGCCATAAGACCATCGTACTTGTATTGCTTTCCAATAGGTTTCTGAATGCAGTTATGTCTTCATACAAGCTACATTCACAAACAAGTTTTGTTAAGTAATTGTGGTAGCTAGATTTACACATGATACTTGCCACACTAAAATTAAGCATGAACCTACAAACTGCCGTAAGTCCAGCCCAGCCCAGCCCAGCCCAAGAATGTCATAGAACTGTGATGGTGAACCTATGTTATGCGTGCTGGAAGTGGCACGCAGAGCCATTTTTCCAGGCACGCGAGCCATCACCCGTTGCTCTTCCGGGTTCCAGCATGCCAGGCAGTTGGTCTTCACATGCGCCGAAGTGCTGGAAACTGAAAGAGCAGCTGCCCAGTGCACATGCGTGCTCCGGGAAGATAATCTTCCAGTTTCCGGCACATACATGTGCACCGGCCAGCTGGTCTTCACACACACCTGTGCATCAGAAACCAGAAGACCAGGTGGCTGGTGCACATGTGCATGCGCATGCCGGAAACCAGAAGATCATCTTCCTGATGCGCACATGCACACCGGGGGTGGCTGCTCTTCCTCTTTCTGGCACGTGCATGCACACCGGCCACCTGGTCTTTGTGCATGCATGTGCGCCAGAAACCAGAAGACCGAGTGGCCGGTGTACATGTGCACTTCGGAAACCAGAAGATCATCTTCCCAGCGCACAAATGCGCACTGGGCAGCTGTTCTTCCGGTTTCTGGCACTCAGTGATGAAAAGGTTCGCCAACACTGTCATAGAACAATCCAGCCAAAATTCAGTTCTTTATTTGCTCACACCCAAAATACAGAATTTTGCCAGACTAAAACCGACGTTATTCTCACCGTAATGGATATACCCTGAGAGATTGTAGATTGTGGTTATCCTGATTCCCTTCCTCTGTCTCCTGTCCAGCACAGGACTATGCTGCCTCTTATCTCGTCCACTCCTTGGAATGTTCTCCCTCCTTCCTGGGGAACTGCCACTTCAGTGTAGTCCTTCCTACCAGCTCTCCCTCCATGGGCACCAGCCATCACATCCTTATAGCTTAATCTCTAGCACTGAGAATGTTACCTAGTTAGGATAATGAAACATCTGCAAGAAAACAAGCCAGCTCAGAGAGCACCAAGGGCCCCTTGTAGCTCAATGCTTGGTATGAATGAGGTTAGGTTCCTTGTTTTCTGTAGTTGAAGCTATTGTATGGATCCACAGGAAAGTGATAATCTGAATTGTGTTCCATTAGGAAATTCCTGTTGTGACACTCTCCCTTTGATTTCTTCCAGGCTCACGGGTTTCCAGCTGCCTCCTCCCATTGTGAGTACTGGAGTGGTGCTGTCCTTGTGGCTTGTAAGTGACTATGCTGTCAGTGCTCAAGGATTTCAGGCAACCTATGAAGGTGGGTTTGCTTTTGGTGAACTTCTGATATTCATACGCTGTGCTTCTATAAAGGGAATTTTCTGGTAAAGTAAAAGTAAAAGCTCTTCCAAATAGAGTTGGACATGGTGATTTCATGGATACAACAGCATAGTTTTCTTGGCCGCATTCAGGAAATAATTTTACATTTCTTTTCTTTTGGGAAGTTTGTTCAAGCCTGGGAAATTCTTGCATCTAGATGAAATTCTTTCATCTAATACTAATCAGGCCTGACCCTGCTTAGCTTAGAACCGGGGTCCCCAAACTTGGCAGCTTTAAGACTTGTGGACTTCAACTCCCAGAATTCTTCTACTAATCTTGCAAATCTGCTACTAATCTTGCAAATCTGAATGTACCTCTCTCCTCCCTTACTTTTACTCTCCAAAAACTAAGAAAGGTCCCTTCTCAGACATTTTCTCCACCTCCATCCCTCCTTTTTGTTTATCCATTGTCTATGCTGTGGTTTTTCTTCCTGTTTCCCAAGGTCATTCCTACCTACTATTGTAGAATGATGGCAAGGGTTGCTGGACATTGTTGTCCCTCTTGGTGTAGGTACCATGGAGCCTTTGACTCCAGCAATTTGATTCTGGGAGAGAATTCTGGGAGTTGAAGTCCACAAGTCTTAAAGCTGCCAAGTTTGAAGACCTCTGGCTTAGAAGATCAGCCAGTTGTGGTTTCCAAAGAATTTTCATGCTGTAGAACAGATCATACATCTCAGGACAATTATTTTTTAAAATAACCCTCCATGTGATAAATGTTGGGTTAGCAACTTTCTGCTACGTGTTTGCAATTAAGGTCTGAAATCAAGTGATTTTAAACTTGTATCTTTAAAGTAAACATTTACTGAGTTAAACTATGCTAACTTTTTGGTTTGGAGCCAGAGTAACAGAATGGCCTCATATATTGATGAGTTTGGCATTGTGGATGAGTAGTAACTGCAAAAGAATGGGTTCCTTCAGTTGCAATATTACAACTCTTGGGTATACAATTGGATTTTATTGAGTTTTAATTGTTATCGCTCATATAATTGTTTCTTTTTTAAGCAAACAAAAGAACCACCCCACTCTTAGTAGATTGGATAATTATCTTCAATACAGTTAAAATTACTAAGATTATATTGGGCTTGCTTTCAGACAAATTCATCCTCATTGCTTGACCCTCACTTGGTAGTCCATCTTTTTTCAATCCTGGCTAGACATTTTGTTGATTCTGTCAGATATTGTTGGTGGCTCCACCCCCAGTACAATGAAGGAGGCAAGTTTGGAGAAGTCTATTTCTCCCACAGGTCTACCTGGAAATAATTCAAGGAGGTTCTGTTTAATTTCCCAGTAAGGCCCACCGTGACAACACTCCAGGATAGGGTATTGTGGGGAATTAAAATGTCAACTTGCTCCTGTCCTCACCAGGTAAGGCTTTAAGAACACAAGAAAAGTACCCATACTACCCAAAAACTCATCATATGTTGGTCATGCCTCCATCGGAAAGATTTAGCAATGAAAAGATTGGGAACAGACTGAAACTGAACAAGCTGCACAAACTGAAAGGGAATTACAGAGGATGCATAAATATGTGGGAGAAAAATCTAGATTTATTGAAAAATTTCAATTATAAAAACAGTGCAATAATTATGTTCAAGAAATTGCAATGTATGAATTTGTTAAGCATTGCATTTTTTTTATTTTAAAAATTAAGATTAAACATTGCCCTTGTATCTGTCCTCAAAGGATGAAACAATATCTGATACTTGTGAATCCCTAGCTTTTTTCTTTTACTTTAAGAATTGCATATTCTTAATTTTTTAAGTCATAAAGTATTTATCATTTTCATATCAATTCTTAAAGCATGGGTTTGCACCTGGTTTTCTAAATGCTTATCTTCTATTGTTTTACTTTGGTTAATACTTGCATATTGTTACCAGTACAAATAGAGCCATAAAAAGAATTGTAGTGAAGACAGAACCTACAAAGAATTGAACTGTTTCCTTTATAATTAAATGTTTTCGTTAAGCAATTTAATTTTGCTTAAACCTGGAGATAGACCATTCCTCCACTTGTCCTCCTCACTGAAAATCTCAGAGATTTTATTTGCATTGTTATACTTGGTATTCAGATAATTGCCAGGTTTCCAAATATAGAATCATCAGCATTCCGCCTGCAACACACCCAAAATCTAAATGAAAAATGAAAACGATGTCACTCTGCTACGTAGTGGGATAGAAAGAACAAAGCAATGCAGGGAGAGAGAAAAAGGAAGAGAATAAAATGACTGAGGAATTTTGCTCAGGGCTCCAACAATCAACATTCATTGTGGACGCTGATGACTTAATACTTCTAGTACTGGTCAGCTTGCTTGACAGGAGTCAAAGATTCTGACAACTGCATTGCAGAAATGTCAGCTTACTCCCCCCCCCAATTATTTCATTTTCAGCATGAAGGCAGAAGTAAAAGTAACCTGATTTTTCCAATTTCCCCACAAGGAAAAACAAATCTGGGGATATAGACTTAATTTCTGTGGCAAGTCTAGATAGTGGATTCACTGTAAATATGGGTCAATTGTTCTGGTGTTCTAGCACAAGTTTTCAAAACTTTTTGCCTGTGGAATCTGTTAGTTAAAAAAAATTAAAACATTCTGGAAGCTCTGGACAAGAGCCGAAGTTGTAGGCTGCTTTCAAGAGAATATTTCCCCCTCTCATGAAACCCTAACCCTAGGTTCTGTGAAATACAGTTTGAAAAGTCCTGTGTCTAAAATTGTGTAATTGAAGGTGAGAAGGACAAAGGGCGGTGATGCTATTGATAATTCAGAAGCAGTTTAGGAGAGGGTTGCAGGAGCTGTGCATCATGAACCCATAACCTGCATAAAATAAAATAATCTGACCTAAACATTTCTGGGAGCTATGAGACACCCTCCTGTTCAGTTTCTACCTTGAGGTGGTAGGGAGGGAGGAAATGATGATGTACCTGTTACAGCCTTCCTTAACTATATTATCTATAATGGCTTTGTCCAATCAAGTAATCTTCTTTTTTTTTTTTAATATTTAATATTTTATTGTAACACAGTATGACAAACACATAACATACAACATTTGAATATATCCTCTTTTGAACCAATGTTTCTTAGTGGACTTCTTTCCATTTTGTATCTTTCCCCCCATATCTCTCTTACTGTTTCATTTTCTTCATTGTCCCTTTTTCTTTAGTTACATCGTATTTTCTAATGCTAATAACTTTAATTTTATACATTTCTATATATTTGTTATATGCATATTTTAAATTTTTAGATTCTCCCCTGTATTTATTGTTCTTTATTATCTCTCAATTATTATTTATATCTCAAGCCATTCATACCATTTGTTCCACATTATGTAATAATCTGTCTCTTGTTTTTATTTAATTTCTTTTGTTAATTATTTGTCCATTTCAGCACATTCTAAAACTTTTTCTATCACTTCTTCATCTGTTGGTATCTTTTCCTGTTTCCACTTTTGTGCATATGTTATTCATGCGGCTGTTATAATGTGTAAAATCAGATATTTTATTTCTTTGGTGTATGTTCTTGTGAGTGTTCATAATAAGAATGTTTCTGGCTTTCTTTCAATTGGTTGATCTGTTATTTTTTTCTAGCCATTTCTTTATATTTGTCCAATTTTTTTTTTGCTGCTGGACATGTCCACCATAGATGGTAATATGTTCCATGAGTTTTCTTACCCTTCCAACATGTTGAGTAAATTCAAAACTAACATTATCCGTGGCATACAAGGAAAATCAGCTGAAGATGTTTTATAGGTGGCATCTTCCACCAACAAGACTTGCAAAGATGTTCCCAAATAATACCAAACAATCAAGTAATCTTCTGATGTGTTGCAGCTGCATTTCTCAGACTGCAGAAGTCATGTTGGCTGGGCATTTTAGACACTGCAGGTCCAATTCATTGTGCAATGCCAAGTTTGGATAGCTGGTGAAACTTGTGAACTAAAGATGTTAACAAAATAATTCATTCCAATATGTGGCTCATCCAGACTTTGCTTTTAGAAGATGGAAGAGTGGTACAGATTTCCAGTGTGTTCTGTCTTCTATATTATATCAGCTTCAAAATTTACAAGTCTGTCTTTGTAACCTAGATTGCTCTCTGTCTCTCCTATCTGAGACAAAATGGTATTTATTAAACATGCATTCCTTTGCATCTTTCTCTTCTCTTGATAGTTACTGTAGTTAACCATTTTGATTCTCTGCTTAGAATCACTATGCATTGAGGTTCTGAGGTTGCTGTTAGTCCCAATTCCAAATTCTTTCAGAAAAGTCATGCTTAGCCTTGGTTCCTGCAGGAATTCACTTCATCTGCTGCCTTCTGTAAAGACTTGTTCATTATGTACATTAATCAGGTAAATCCATTCCCTGAACATCTGTCTTCATGGTTACTCCAAATGCTAGATACGAATTGTTTCCTCATTAGTAATAATAAATCAAAATATAGCCTAGATTAGTCAGCATAATGGACAAATTCAGCTTTGTTGTAGTGTCTACATTTCTTAGACAAACACAAATAGATTTTGCAGTAGCTAAGCATAAGCACTGAGAACTTCTGTCATCCAAATTTTGTACCTGGTAAAGATGAACTTTCTAGCCTATATAAATTAATAAATAACAGCAAAGAGTTACAGTTTTGTAGTTTGATATTAAAGGCATTAATATACTGTTAAATTGTATTTTTTTTTTATTTAAAAAATCTGGAATATGTTTTAAGTGCTTAGGAACAACTAGTGTGTGTTCCTGAAAGACAGTTTCATGCTACTTAATAGTTAGCTCAACTATACTAGCCTTTGAATTGTTTCCTTACTGAAAAAAAAGGAAAGCCTAAAAAATAGGAACCTCTGTTGTAATGTATTATAGTGATGATGATAAAAATGCTATCATGGTACCTATATTGCTGTAGTGCTACTTTGCTTTCCGCTGTTTATATTCAAATTAGATTGCTAGCTTTCTTAGGATTGTTATACTTTGTTTTCTGGAATTTCTTTTCACTTTTGTGTAGGCATTATGACAAATCATAAAAATACTTAATAAATAGGGAGGGAACCTCCCACAAAACAGTATTAGTGATTTTTATATCCTTTGTTGCCACCTATTGTCTGTTTGCATTTTTGCCATCTAAATACAGTAGTCTAGAAGGTAGAGAAACTGACAAAACACACTTGAATTTTCTCTAACTTGGTGGGTGGATATTGGATAGATAGATGTCCCCCGTAGGTTTTCCAACCTTTGGCTGCTCTAAGTGAAGTTCTAAACTATTCATGGAAACCATCTCCTGAAGATTACATATGCTAGTTGCATAAGTATATTATAAAATTAATTGCAATCACCACAATGGCAGACCTGATGAAAATATAATAAAGTGACATTTAAAATAAATTGAGAGAGTATTTTGTAGCGAGTGGGAAATCAGTGTGAATTCCATACCACATTCTGGTTAATACCAAAAACAGTTCATCATGGAGAGGAAGCCTTGGGTTTGTTTGTTTTTTTTTAAAAAAAGGAAGATATTAATATTGTGTGCATGACGGAACTGCATTATAATTTATAATTTGCTGCCTCTCGGCTGTCTTGTGCTTAGAATGAAAAAGAAATCAGAGGAAGTTTAACATAATGCTGGGAAGGTTTGCTTTTTTATCATAAGGCAAATAAAGAAAGAACAGATCCATAAAACAACAAGCTGGGTTTAATAAAACTTTAATGATGTTCCGGAGTTTTACCCCCTCATTTCTGGTTCAGCGTTCCAAACCACTTAGCGGTGAGGATAGCTGTCTATTTTTGTTGTTCTGGCATCTGGACCTATGAAAGCTGTTAGTAGGAAAATGGCCCATTGCTGGCAGATGAAGAAATTAAGAAACATGCTGCACCTTCTGATGCTCCCCATTAGCCTATCCATCCCTCTCACAGATAAATAAACTGTTAGCATTTGTAGAACCTCATTAGAATGAGAAACCAGTGCCCTTCAAAAGCTCTCAGATGTTGAAGTTATTTTCAGGTAAGAAAGATGAGATCCTGGAGTATTTTTCATGGGTGGCTTTACTGCTATTTTCTCAAGGATGCCTTGATGCTTGATCAAGAGGAACCTTTACTGACCCTTAAAATAAACCCAGCATCAATGCTAATAGGTTGAGATTTCCACCTATTCTTACCGTTAGTATCCTGTTTGGTTTCTGTGCCTGAGTGGTTTCCCCAATTACCTCTGCAATACTGGACTTACGTTTAAGTACAAGCTGCCAGAAATCCAGCATGACAATCATACGGTAAATCCCTATCAAAATAATTGCTATTTCTTTGCATTGAAAGAGCAACCGGCATGGCTGCTTCCTTTTAAAACTCAGTGAGTAGAAGCATACTCCAACTTGAAAATATGGCTGTTTTTGTTTTGTGGCTTCCTGCTGCTATGACTCTGTCCTTATGGTGTTGGTCAAGTGGAGGACATTATTCATCCTCTTGCAGACACGTTTCCAACTGTTAGTAGTCAGTTTGCTACTTTCCCTCTGCTATCATCTAAATTCCAAAAGAAATAATTTATGCTCTTAGTTGTAGTGCAGGCTTTACCTAGTTTCAACCTTCTTATAACTAGCACTCTTTTATTACTTCATGTTCTCATGTTGTTATTCTATTTTATGACCTGTGATTACAATAGCAAACTTCTTTACTGTGGATGGAAGAGAAATTATGGATAAATGCATGGATAAATTAGGGGTATACTTGAAAGTGGCATTCTCCAATATCTATATATTTCATAATAAAGACTAATATCAACCAAGTTCAGTGTTAGCAAAAGCTACTGAGGTATATAAATGGTCTGTATGCTAACAGAACCATAAAGGATATTACAGGAAAAGGCAGACTAGGTTAAGTATTCACAAGACTGCTGATGTTTCCAGGTTGACAGGATCTCTGCTCCCAACCTTCACCCCTGCTTGCTACTGATTGTAGATTTAATGAAGTTCTCTTCATCCATTCCAAATTATCAGATCCCTGTTTGGTTGAGAAGTGTAAAAGCAAGCAAGAAACCTCTTCAGAAGGGGGAAAAGCTATATCCTCAGGTTCGGATAATAAAATCAAGAATATTGAGGTTTGGTGTAACTTGTGCTTAAAATCATCTTCATGTCTTTCCCTCCTAATTTAATTTAATTTAATTTAATTTAATTTAATAATTTAATTTATTCAATTTATATGCCGCCCCTCTCCGAAGACTCAGGGCGGCTCACAATACATTTTTAAAAATCATTATAAAAAACATTTAAAAATTAAAAACATTAAAAACTCATTCATGCCATTCATGGCCAGATCTCACCAGATCACAAGAGCGAGATCAACGGCCCCAGGCCTGCCAGAAAAGCCAGGTCTTCACTGCTTTTCGGAAGGCCAATAGGGTGGGAATGGTCTGGACCTCAGGAGGTAACTGGTTCCAGAGAGCTGGGGCAGCCATAGAGAAGGCCCTCTCCCGTGGGCCCACCAGCTGGCATTGTTTAGCTGACGGGACCTGGAGGAGACCAACTCTGTGGGATCTTACCGGTCGCTGGGAGCTATGCAGCAGAAGGCGGTCTCGAAGATAACCTGGCCCTGAGCCATGTAGGGCTTTAAAGGTAATAACCAACACCGTTAATTGTGACTGGAGACCAATAGGGAGCCAGTGCAGCTCGCGGAGAATTGGTATAATGTGGGTGTACCTAGGTGCACCCATGGCAGCTCGTGTGGCTGCGTTCTGGACCAACTGTAGTCTCCGAACACTTTTCAAGGGTAGCCCCATGTAGAGCGTGTTGCAATAATCTAACCGTGAGGTGACAAGGGCATGAGTGACTGTGAGGAGAGCCTCCCGATCCAAGTAGGGTCACAATTGGTGCATCAGGCAAACCTGTGCAAAGGTCCCCCTAGCCACAGCTGTCAGATGTTGCTCTAATCTTAGCTGTGAGTCTAGGAGGACACCCAAATTGCGAGCCCATTCTGAGGGGGACAATTTCTCCCCCCCCCAGAACCAAGGATGGACAATCAACATAGTCTTTAGGAGGCAATACCCACAGCCACTCAGTCTTGTCTGGGTTAAGTCTGAGCCTGTTGACTCCCATCCAGACCCTCACAGCCTCCAGGCACCGGCACATCACATCCACCGCATCACTGAATTGACGCGGGGTAGAGATATACAGCTGGGTATCATCAGCGTATTGCTGATACCTCACCCCATGTCGTTGGATGATCTCCAAAGACATTCCAATATACTGATCTGATGTACATGCTTAGAAGCATGCAGCTATTTATACTCAACATATGGGATTTTTTCAAGGCAACCATAGTCAAAATACGGTTTATATTTCTGCCTAAGTTTTTCTTTCCATTTTGAATTTTAACTTGAATGCCTGCACAAGGCTATATTATTTGTCAGTCTGATATGGGTTCCAAATTCAGTCTTTCTTTCCTAGTTGTCATTTCTTCTGACTGGATGTTCACTTTTTTTTAAAAAAATCACTTATTCAAACACTTGTAACTTACTTTCACTTTAATACTGGTTTCTCAAACTACTTGGGAATATTTATGATAACTGTGACATTTAATCAATTTAATTGGGTAGATTAATAGATTTTTTTTCCTATTAAAAAGCTTAATAGGTATTCTAATTATACAGGCAGAATATTTTTATAACACACATAACCAGAGAAAAATATACCTGTATATCATTTTATATGGGTGCTAATTAAAAAAAATGACAAGATATACTGTACCAATATTGAAGAGTCCTTATCCTCTTCTCAGTCTCTCTCAGAAAGAAATGATTTTCTCAAATAAGGCTTTCATCTTGTAGAGTACAAATACCCTACTGACTTCAGAAATAGGTTTTTTCTTCACACTTGTGCTAATTTAATTAATAGATGAATCCACTAATTGATTATAACAGACATAGCCAATCAATTATTCTATTCTGTTAATCAGGTTTCAGTTCTCATATTAGAGTAGCAGCATAAACATTTGTAAGACAAAAAATAAAGCATCATTGCATTTGAAAAAGTTGAAAAACTGCCTGGAGAATGTCAGAATATTCATGAACTGGAACAGGGACATAGCAACAAGGTCAGCCAATGGGAGCTGAGACAAGAAGGAGCCTGGGCGTGGCTCTGTAGCTCTGTGCTCAGCTCTGAAACTAAACTAGTCAGTCTGTTTGCTGAATTGAAACTGAAACTCATCTCTGCTGTACTCTGTACTTACAAGCTCTCCTCTCTACCACTGGTATTGTATATTTATCTTCATATGTTATATTGTATATATAGAGAATGTCAGATGTAAATGCCTTATTCTCCAATGTGTAAATAATGTATATATGGAACATCAGAGGTTAACTTATTCTTTGGACTTTAATGTATTCATAACTTACCACTCCCATTCCTAGCTCCACCCCTTGTATATATAAGGAGCCACCCTCACCATTCTCGCTGCTTCTACCTTGAATATTCAGTGAATATAGAATGCCTATCATAATTAAAAAGAAATATATTTAAAGCTCTAACTCCTATTATCTTTATTGAGTCTGATCCTGAAAATATTGCAACAAGCTGGTAGCAGAGGATGGTTAATTGACTCAATAAGTAATTAAAAATGTCCAAGAAAGATAGGCCCAACACCAGGGCCTACAGCAAAGAAATAGAAACTGATCAAGAGATGACCAACGAATCCACCAATGCGATTTCGAGAGAATCCGAAGAATACACCACTGAAGAAGAAGAACTAATGAGTGAAAATAATGACCAGAAAGAAATCGAAATAGAAAATAACGAACTCAGGTCAGAAATATTAAAGATACTAAAAAGCCAAAAGAATGATGAAAATCTCATCGCGGACCTCCAGGAGATGCTGAAGAACAGCGGAGCAGCGAGAGAGAAAAACGTCATTAAAGAAAAACCCAAAGATCAAAAAACCGTAAGTGAGATGACTACTGAGAAAATAGTTGTTAAAAAGAAAAGATGTGATCCCGCGCGAAATTTTGAATGGCAGCCATCTTGGTTTCAACGAACTTCAAAAGAGAATGGAGCAGAGCCAATCAAAACGCTCAGTTCAAAATTTCTGGCGCGAAAAACACTATCAGACGAAGAAAGTGAGAAAGAAGTCTCAAACTCTTCAGATGATCCAAAATCAGAAAGTGAAGACGATTTAACAAAATCTCAAGTAAAATCAGCAATGAAAACGCTTTTTGCTGCTTTTGGGCCAAGACTGAAAATTACCAAGACATCTACGAAGAAGCAAGAAATCAAACCGGCGACTCAAGACCTGCACGCTCCCATCCTGACTTCGAAAGCGACGACGCCCGAGACCAGAGAGCCATGCCGATTTCGCCCTACACCACAGACAAGATCGAATGCCAACGCACACAAAAAGAAGAAAAGAACCGTCGCCACCACCAGAACCCCAAAAACCGAGCCAGAGACCGACTCATCTGAGGAGGAGCGGATCGAGAGAGCTGAAAGGGAGAGAACCTTCCACGACGCCACCAAAGAAGAAATGAGCAATGCGCATGTGCGAAACTACGTAGACGACCCAGAAGGACTTGAACTGGCCAGAGAACCGCGCAGACTCATTGCAAGCATCCCAATGCCGTTCTGTAATTTCCTGCACTTGAGAGATCACGGACTGCCCCAGGTTGTAAGTAATGGACAGAATAATGTAGGTAACTTACCCAGTGACTTCCCAAAACTTAGAATTGATGGCATTAATTTACAAGAGTGGTATCAACAGCTTCAGGTTATTTTCATGAAAGAAAATTTACTATTCTTTATAACTAGCCCTCCAAGAAGACCTTGGACCTTAAAAATAGATTGTTTACATCATAGAGCATTTTTCATAATAATATCTAGCGTGTCTCCTGCAATGTATCATAGCATCAAACCAAACCTAACAGTATCAGAAATAATTCAATGCATGTTTAATCTATTTCACAGCGATAGCGTAGCTACAACCACAAGAATGTCTAAGGATTTCTTTTCCTCTAGAGTAAAACCAGGGGTTTCTATAAGTGAGCATTTGATAAATCTAAACAAAATAAGAGCTGAGCTACAATTGAGGGGGGAAGTGATTTCAGATCAAACAATGAAAAGTGTTATTATCAATTCACTTGATCCATCATGGGATAGCTTTATGTCACACTTAGATACCATTAATTTGGGATATTTATCCATAGAAAGCCTATCTAACAAATTGATAGCAGAAGACAATTCAAGAAAAAATCGATCCAGTAACCAAACAGACCACAAACCTTTTAGGAAAGTAGTCTTTCAAGATAAACATAATGAGGCCTTTAGATGCTACAATTGTGGATCCAGGGAACATAGTAGAAGAGACTGCCCCAAAGTCTCAAGAGAGAGACATAGGCCAGAATATAGGAGCAAATATAATTACAAACAATCTTCCACAGATAGACACGAATATAGAAGTCCACCAAATTACAAAGAAGGTAGAGGGGGTAGAGAAAATTCAAAAGAGAGGAAATCTGGGTCACTGAATGGGCTAAATAAACAAGACAGCACCAGAACACAGCAGGATGAGAATAACAATTGGCTTATTGATTCTGGTGCAACAAATCACACCACCAACAACAAAAGTATATTATCTTCATTTATAGAAGATAAGTTTGTGATAAAGGTAGCTAATCAAGAAAAGGTTCAAGTACTAGGCAAAGGAAATGTGACCTTGCCTGGTCTAGGGAAAATAGAGGGGGTATTATTAATCCCAGAAATACCTCACAACATACTAAGTGCCATAAAATTAAGCAGAGAATCTGATATCAATATAGTTTTCTCAAAGGGGAAAGCAACTATAGAAAAGAACAAAACAAATGTAGGTACTGTAATGATAAAAGGAGGTCTACCCTATCTGATAACTAAAGAAAGATGTTTACATAACATTGATTCAAATATGGAAGATTGTATTGAAGCAGATGATGAAAATGTCAGTAACAGTGACAATGATGAGTGTAGAATAACTCATGATCACAAAAATACATACAAGGAAAAGAAACCAAAAATAGGTAAACCAATTCATGATGAGTGTGCTCACATCTTACACAGGAAGTTAGGACATGCAAGCTTTCCTGTAGTACAAAAAATGACTGAACACGCAGAAGGTGTCAAAATAAAAAATTGTGAAAATTATTTGGAATGCTCAGTATGTAAATCCACCAAACTAAAAACCAGTCCCAGACCAAAAAAATCTAACAGATCAACTAACAATATTTTTGATTTGGTACATATGGACTTAGTTGGTCCATTAAGTCCCTCAATTACCTATAGAAAACGTTACTTCCTAACAATAGTGGATGACTACAGCCGATATGGTTTTGTTTACACATTAAAGCACAAGGATGAAACATTTCAGAAATTTAAGGAATTCTACAAACGTATAGAAACACAACATAATATCAGAATAAAGCAAATTATGACAGATAGGGGATGTGAGTTCATGTCTAAAGAATTCTCCCAATGGTTAAAGGATAGAGGAATGTTACATTTCACGTCCAATCCTTTTTCTGCATTTCAAAATGGAGTTGCAGAGAGGAAAAATTCCACACTACAAACCATGATTAGGTGCACATTAGAGGATGCTGGTTTAGGCAAACAATTTTGGTCAGAAGCATTACATTATTCAAATTACACTCAAAATAGAACCTGGTCCAGTATTGTGAATAAGACACCATATGAGGTGATGTACAATAGAAAACCCAAATTATCACACATGCACATATTTGGAGTCACTGCAGACGTACACATACCTAAACAATTGAGGAGAAAGGGAGAAAACGTATCCAGGAGATTAAGATTCATGGGATACGAAACTGGAACCAAAGGGTACAGATTTATTGATAGTAATAACAAATTTATAGTATCCAGAACAGCTGTGTTCCATGAACAGGCCAATTGGTCAAAATTGCACCTTAATGAAATATTTCCTAATAAATGTAAAGATACGATATCTTGCGAGGAAGGAACAACAGAAAATCAAAATATTAACAAAAGTAAGAACAAAACCAAAACTTGGACTAATAGTCAGCATAAAATAAAGACAGACACATTAACAAAAAAGGAAGCTAGATATTTGCATGATAACCATAGCAAGCCTGAAAGAACTATTAGAAACAATAGAAACCAAATACCAAATAAATACAAAGATTACATAATGCATATGAATGGAGAACAAATAACACCTAATACATATGAAGAAGTATTGAAACTTCCACATGAAGAAAGAGAAAAATGGGAACTAGCTATGGAAAAAGAGATGGAAAGTTTACAAGGATTAAATGTATTCACACCTGCGATCGCACCTAAAGATAAAACAATTATAGGTACCAGGTGGATTTATAAAATTAAGAACTTAGAAGGAGGCAATACCTTATACAAGGCTAGACTAGTTGCACAAGGCTATGCACAAAAATATCCAGAAGACTATACTGATACATATTCACCCACAGTGAGAACAGAGAGTGTCAAAACAGCCCTTGTAGTAGCTTCTGCACTCAATCTGGACGTATTCCAATATGACATACAGACCGCATACTTACATGCAAAATTAGATAAGGAAATATATGTAAGAGCACCACACAGTCAATACACTAATAAGAACGAAATTTGGTTATTAAATAAGAGTCTGTACGGATTAAAGCAATCCGGCAAAAGATGGTACGATTGCTTGGTAAAAGTACTTAAGACCATGGATTTCAACGCCACCACTGCTGATAACTGTTTCTTTGTAAAAAAGAGTAATGATCATATTGAATTTGTATTAATTTACGTGGACGATATTTTATACATTGGAAAGCATAAAGAGAGCAGGGAAATCTTTGTAAATAAGTTAAATGAACACTTCTCACTGAAATCTCTGGGTAAAGTGAATAAATACCTTGGTGTGCAAATTAACAAAACTAAAAGGGGATTCAAACTTACACAGAAAGATAAAATCATCGAACTCCTAAACAAATGTAACTTAAATAATGCCAAAACCTGTGACACCCCTATGCAGACTGATTTTCTTAGAAACACTGATGAATCTTCCCCTGAGTTTAAAGACAACACATTTTACAGATCAGTTATAGGTTCACTCCTCTATATATCTAATTGGACTAGGCCAGATATTGCATTACCTCTCAATCTATTGTCAAGATATGTTAGTAAACCAACCTTGTATCATTGGGAAGCTGTCAAAAGAATTCTAAGATATCTGAAGGGTACATTAGATTTTTGTTT